GGTGGCTACGCTGCGTTTCCATAGGAGCTAAGCCTTTTTCTTTCTTTACTTTTTCTTCAGGTAAGTTCGCTCTTTTCAAATTTTACAAAAAAAAATGCACCATCTGTGGGCAACGCTGCACAAAGTCGTAGCGCGATAGGTTAATAGCGAGTTCGTTTCACGGCACTCGTGCCCACGCGTGCCCACTCGCAGCAAGGAACGGGTTCGTTTCGGCCGGCGCTCCACGAGTGGTTGCACTCTCCGAGTTCGTTTCATCGCTGACACCCCACGCGTGTATGCGCTCGCTGCACCGAGAAAATCGGGAGTGCGCCAAAATGCAATCCCGTCATGCCTCGCTCCGGCGGGGCCGGCGAGGAGCGGGAGCAGACGACGAGGGTTCGTCTGCTACGATATGTGGCGGAACCGAACGGAAAAAAAAGAGGCGAGAAACAGACGCACAGTGCTGTCTGTTTCTCGCCTCTTTGTCCCCGTTTTTTGAGCGCTAAAATGTATTCCAAAAGCGCACTGTGCTGTCTGTTTCTCGCCTCTTTGTCCCTGTTTTTTGAGCGCTAAAATGTATTCCAAATTCTAAAACTAACTAGCCCAACAATCTACTCTACGGAAAAAAAAAAAAGTAGATTTTCTGATAGAAATCATGTCCCGCGGGCAACGAAATCAAACGCGAACTTGAATTGTGAGCGCCTGCTATTTCACGAAGGAAGCAATTGACAACCCGCGATTCATTTGCAGGTTTTAAATCACTCTGTTGCCGTACAAACGCTGAAATATACCAGTGTGTAAAGAAATGCTCAGAACAAACGCAACAGCGGCCCTCGAGATTTCTATCACCATCCGTGTGCGGGTGAAAAATTTAACATTTGTCGATAAAACTCCCCCTCTGACTACCCAATAAGCATCAGAGAAAGCTAAAGATGGTGACTTTACCCGAGGATTGGGCAACATCATCATGTTTAACATTTACCTAAGCAGCTAACTTGCCCCGTCGTATTTTGTTCGAGAAAGCTCTCGTTCTCGACGCCCTCACCAAAGCTAATATCTAATCCACCTATAGTGACGATTTAAATCGAAAATCCCAGTTTTGCTGGATATTCTAACAGGCTAGTTTTAAGCCGTACCCTTTCAGTGGTTCACGCATAATACCATGCTCAAACGGATCAAGCTTCTGCTCGGACAGCATCATTAGTTTTCTTCAGTGTAAACGGTTATAAGAATTGAAAGATCGCAACCAGCTGCTTTGTAGACAGCTGGTTGCGGAAATTTACGCCGTCTGTAACTAGCTCTACGGCAGCCGAGCTGCTTGAAGACATCGCAACTATAAACTACAGGCTGCAGTTGCCAACGTTAGTAGATAAACGTTGGTAGCAACTGCATTCTCGCATTCCCACGCATCACTCAGAACCTCTATGCTCGGAACAGAAAGGCGCTAGTTTCGGTTTGAAGTCGGTGCCTTTTCTACAACATAGATGGCGGCAGCATCAGTCTTCTGCACTCGGCGCATTTGGCAAGTTCGTTTGAGTCCAGTTTTCCGTGCAACACTGTGAGTGCGATGCCTTCTGGGAGAGAACTCGAACGGTGCCAGTGCGTGCGAAACGAACTCGCTATAAGAGACCGAATTTTTCAATTAATTTAAAGAGCCCGGCGTCTCCTTGTTTCACCCTGTAGATCGGCCATGGTAACCTTCCAGATATGTGCACGAAACGAGTCTTAAAAGCTTTCAGGAATATTAAAACGTTCGTAGAAACTTCATACGTTGCAGTCTCTTTTGCTTTAGAGTCTGCGGCTCCACACGGGCCTAATTATTTATCTTCGAAATATTTTCGGCTTCTGCCACCCGTATAAACGGTCGGAAGGAGCTTACTCGATCTACCGATCTAACTCTAGGGTAAAGGTGGTTATCGAAAACCTACCCGCGTCCACCGTTTCTCTATTTTTGTTGTCACGTGACATAATCGGCCAGTGTAACTCGGATCCATTCGAGTAGGTTTGGAACCAACGAGGTAGAGCGGCTTAGAGTGATAAACCGGAAGTTCAGAAGTGGCACCCCCCCCTGGTTGCCGCCATATTTTACGCAAATGTGACCACTCGTCACGTGACCTCCCAAGAGCCGTGACGTCACAGGTAAGATGGCAGCGCCCAGAGCTGGCGGATGCGGGTTTGTTCGGCGCGCGGTAGCCGTGATGTGCAGCTGCTTTCCGACGACTTCGGGCTTCTTCGTGCTCGCTGACGCAGGTATAATGTGAAAATATGAAGGAATGAGACTTTATACCGTTGTTTTTGCGCAAGATCGCTCTGGATCATCTGGATATTAACGCCTGTGAGACAGCATCAGCTCTGCATCGCCGTACCGGTGCTTGGATTCCGGGATGTGTCCGGGGATCGATAGAAATTTGAGTGCTTTTAACATTAAATTTTCGCATTCTCTTAGCTTTGTTTGAACATTGAAATATCTGAGAATCTACGCGAAACGCATACGTCGCGTTAGGGCCTAAGGGAAGTTGTTTCAGCCCTCCGTCACCGAACAACCTTAGCAACTTTTAGCGAGGAAGCTCCTGCGATTTTAACCTTTTGTACTAATCCACGATTCTACATTCGATCGCTTTTCTTCCTTTTTTTTTGTGTGTGTGAGTGCGAAGTGCACGCTTATTTTCAGCTACGAGGTTGGCGTTTTATTGAGTATGGGGAAGAATAAATCGTTGCAGGCACCTGCTTCAAAGATATTCGACTTGCTATAAGAACAACTGTTTTGTTGCATGCATAGATTAACTGCGCATTTTTTCTGTTTTGTAGGATTTATTGCAGCTATACTCTTTTCCATCAAGAGTGCATTGTATTAGTCGGTCAAATATTTAATTGTTCTAATTACCTGGATAAGATGATTCATATTTGTGTTCATCCCTTGCCTGGAGAGCAGTCTTGTTGAAAAATGTTGACTACCATTCCTTTCGGTCTCTTCAATATACTCTTTTTAAAAGTGTGGGCTGTCTATACTTCGCATCACCGTAACTTGGAAAAGGCCAACCGCCACAGCCCCCTCGAGCCAATCAGAGACGGAGCGAAGGTGTGTGACAAATCTGTGCAGACGAGCACTCTGGTGATATGCTGTCATGTGCCTCTCTCCAATGTGTGTATTGACTCACCGAGACCGTAGCCTTTGCCGTCTGCCAAATTCTGATGAAACAAATTACAGTAGCTACTACTGTAATTACCCCAGGCCTTCATACTTTGGGTATTTGTTCGACAAGAATGTTATGTCCGCCATCCCTGTGAATTCGGCTCAGCACCTATTGGACTCGAATGCTGCATTGGTGTTCGACGTGAACTGGGGCCCATTCGTGTGCTTTGCGCCGAAAAAAATGGTGACGGTTGTGTTGCTTGATAAGGTTCTGCAAAGGGTCTATTGTGTCATACATATAGGAAGTGTCATGCTATATAACAGTGCATCAACACATACTATTAAACTATATGCTCAGAGGTGTGTTTGTTTCTCCAATTAGCAAGTTACAGCAGTGTGCTTAAATGCTATTATCATGTGTGTAGTTTTAAGTATTCTCTCTGCAATGCCTACGAAGGCCCCTGGTAGGAATAAATTAATAAATACCATTTTCACATCACTGGAGTTGGTTTTCGGATGCACCACATGTTCAGGAAAGGTTGAATGAGTGCAGCCCCTTGCAAGAAGTCTGCCAGTCTGGTATGACTCCTTAATTAATATTGAAGGGTCAGAGAAGCAAGTGTCCTCGTAAGGTCCAGAGCGTGCAATGGACACAATTCTTGGTGTGTAGACTCTCAATGCATGAAGGCAAGCGGAAATATGTTTATCTGGTTAGTGTATCAAATATGTTTATTTCCACTGACGTCATGCCGGGTCCTGTCTGTTTAAACGTCCTTGCCCCAAGGACGTTTAAACAGACAGGACCCGGCATGACGTCAGCCTGAGTGAAGCCGGAAGATGCGTTTAATCCCAGACTGCTTTGCGCACCCGTTCCGAGGCCGTGGGGTTGCGCACCGGCGGTTCGTCTGCTTTCTAATCTGCTCCGGCGTGTGCTTCACGAGGCTAGCTTTCGATGCGGTCGGCGTCCGCCGTGGGCGTCCACGATGCAAATGCTTTGCAGCGTGAGTGTTTATACTTAGTTCCACATTATGTGCGAGCGAAGTCAGAACTGGAAGCGCGAGCCCGTTCTGTGCGCTCCTGGCTTGCATGCGCGCTCGTGCGATCTGCTGCTGCTGTTTATTAAAAAATGCGTTGCGCACCGCCAAGTCCTTCACGGTGCGTCGTCTAGAGCGTCTCCATTCTAGTAACTTACTTTCTGCTGGGCAACCAGCCGTTCGTTCATAGTATAAAAGTCTCGCTGTTTCAAATAACAGTGGGTGCCGCCATTACTTTCGGTGCACACAATCGCGTTGCCACGGAAATGTCATAGCAACGCGGTTGTTTGCACCGAAATTAATGGCGGCGCCCACTCACTAGGCTTCCCATTGGTCAAGAAATGCTCGTTGCGGCTCGCGGCCACGCCTACTTCCGTTACACTTCGCTCCATGCATTGGGGATAGGGACGCCACCTCCTGCCCATTATAACCTCCTTGTTATGGGGGTCACTTTCGAGTGCAGACCGGAACCCCGGTTTATCGCTCTAAGCCCCTCTACCTCGTTGTTTGGAACGCAGCCTCGGTGTATCGCGCTCTTGTACGCTATGCGCCGTTTAGTTGCTGCGCTCGGAGTATGAAACTCGGAGCGTCGGAGTAGGAGTAAAGAAGCGCCGACTTAACGCGCCCACTATCCGCACTCGGAGTGCGAATAGGGACAGCCTGGATGGACTGGCTCGACAGTTATCTATTCGGACATGACACGCCCGGCGGCGATGCTCTAAGCTCGTCTCTGTCATTTCGGCATGCGTCTCACTTCAAACTTTGAATCTACAACGAAAACTAGCTGGATATCCCTTCAAATATGTTCAATCAACACGCTATCGAATCAATTTAAAAGAGAAACACTTGCTTACCGGCGGTTAGCGTTTCCCGAAGGTGCTCCGGCAGCCGTGCACAACCTACGGTCGTTGACTAGACGCAGCGTCCATCAGCGTCTCCCAGATATCGTTTGTTACTCTTGACAAAGTACCTGTAAAAGAAAAAAGAAAAAAAAAACGTAAAGGAATCGGTTTAAACGTAGAAATGAACGCAAACCACAGAGCGACGTCGACGGCGGCGCGGTTCCCATTCGTATGCCAGACTGTGCCAGACCATCTGGAACTACGGAGCAAGTGGTGGTCACAAACGCAAAACTTTAAATGCTCTTTTTTTGTTTCTTTTTTACTTTTTTTTTACACGTCGTATAAACAACGGCTTTTTTTTAACGCGCCTGCGACAATAATTTTGGAGGGACTGCTTTTGTGCAAAATTGTTTTGGTGCTACTGTAAATTCTGAATACTTTTGGTTTCGGTTTCGGAAACCAGGTGGAGAAAAAAAAAACAAAAAAAAAATAACGCTTTCGGAAACACTAAATTGTGATATGAAAGGGAGGTTGGAAATGACGCTTTCTTTTGTTTTAGTACAAACCAACGAGGTAGAGTTGGTACAAACACTGCCTTTATTTTTAACAATTGTGCTATCCCTTCGTCGCGTAGTACAAACTGTGCCTGCATTTATATATTTTTGTGCATTTTTGTGCAAAATTTATTGTTTTTTTTTATGCTATGGCTTCGTCACATTTTCCAAAATAAATATTTGTAGCACTTCAACAACGATTATAAATGAATTAATGAAAATGGGTAAATATAAAGACAAGCTACTCTAATTCACAGTATGCCCGAAGTGCAATGTGTGCCCTTAAAAATATTTTTAAATGCAAAGGATATTTATTTTCATAAATGCTTTCAGTATAGAAATAGGGATTTCGTGAGTATGGCTTGCAGCCTAGATTACGTCACGGTATTTCGTGACACTGATGCTATCATCCCAAAGGCGCTCGAAATTCTAACCATACTCCATCTCAGAAATGTTTGCAGTAAAGACAAAGGCGCAGAGAGGCGCGTGAGCATCGCTCAGTAGTGTGCTTTTGTTTGTACGAGCACTCGTTCATAAGAGGCACTTTCTAAAGCCACGCGCTCGTGCCGGTGCCTTTGTCTTCACTGCAAAAATTTAAAAGTTCTTTTTTTTTTTTTTGCAATTTTTGAAGTAGGTTGGCCGTAGTTTGTTCCCAAAATGACTTTTTGTTTTCTTTTTACACCCTATTTTTAAACGAAGTTTGAAAGTCTCTGCAGGCACACCTGACCACTACTGTTAATATTCTGCCGCTTTTTAGCTACACAAATTACATTTTGTTTTACATCCAGGGCCAGTGGCGTAGCCAGGGGAATCCCCCCAATACCCTCAAAAATGTGGCGGTAGGTTGCGGCATACGGACCCCCCCCCCCCCCCTTTCTAAAAAAAATTATGTCACCAATGTCCAGGGCTAACAAAATGAAACGCACACAGACACAGACGCACGCACACGCGAGCGCGCAAGCACACATACAGACGCACATTCACGCAGACATGCACACGCACGCACACATACACGCACGCGCACAGGGACGTGGCATACACGCGCGCGCTCCCGCGCACACATGCACACAGACGCATGCACGCCTGCACACACCAGTGTTGCACACGCATCCGCAGAGGCACGCACACGGACTCTCGCGTTCACACCGTTCACACCTACACACACACACAACGCACGTAAAAAATGCATTTAATTTTTTTAACATAATCTAAACCCTGAGACAAGGAGAAATAAAATAACGGAGAGGGCAAGTTGTTTTGTCTGTTATTTTATTTATCATTGTCTCAGGGTTTACTTTCGTTCCTTGATCTTTCAAACCTGCCGGCGCTTTGAAATAAAACCATAGATGTGATAAAACTGGTAAAACCGTAAAACCGGCCGGCCAAGTCAATCCATTTTTTGAATGGCGTCGCAGACTCGCAGTTTCATCTGGACGTGTCGCTTGGACGTGTTGACAGATTTAAAGGTGAGATATTATCTGCAACATTCTTTCGAACACTTGTTATTTGCTCGGGAACCTGGTAAGTGAATATAGAAACCTTTTATTGTTTACATTTGATGGGAGTGACCACATATGTCTGACTGTCTCTTTCGTGGTTTCGCGGATTGCTTTCGCTCCTTAAAAATACCCTGTGCCCAGAGTGCCCTCATTCAATTGCATTCTCACGGCGATATTTTGGGGTTCTTATGGTATCCGCGAGTCTATCGTTAATATTTTATTTTGAAGTTCTGCCGTGGTACTAGCGACATGATAGCGGGGTGATCTGCTTTCAGCTTCTCAACCTGTACTATCGCGGACAAAATGAGCTGAAACAGCGCTCCGCCCTGCGCCGCCTGTCGCCTTGCTCCGCACGCACGGCGCACCCTGAGGCCGAGATAAATTCTCACTTGCGCTCGCTGCGCCACTGCGCTCGCTGCGCCACTGCGCTCTTCCGTCCGTCTGCTAGCGAGACGGCTTGTGCGACAGCGGGCGTGTGCGTGGTAGGGCGGCAGGGGGGGGGGGGGGATGTGCATTGTTGAGGTTGTTCAGGCCACAGTTCAGGCGTTCCGCTCTAGGCAAGGGGTTTTGCGGTGCGGCAAAGTCGCTCCCACGCCACGAGGCGGCGTTTTGTTGCCTCCGTCGGATGATTCAAGTCCCCATATGGCGTGTAATCTTTACGGTCACTGTCGTCGTCGTTGCCGTCCTCGGCCTCGTCTCCGTAGCCAAGGGCCTGTGCTATACCGCACTACTACGCGCTTTGCCCTTTCTGGTCGATGCTACTGCGTTGTCCCAAGATGTGTTCGACAGTCTCCTCGTCGCCGCCACAGAGCCCGCAGTTTGGATCTTCTCCATAAAGCTCAAATCTGCGTCTCTGGATCGGTAGGGAGCCCGCTCGAGCCTGGAACAGCAGCGCGCTGGCTCGGTCTCCCTGCTAGTGTGGATAGGGCGCTGGTTCCTTCTTGTGTTTCCTGTACAGTTGGAGGCTCAGTATCCTCTGCATTGTCCTTCTCCAGTCCTCTATTCCGGCCCGTGTCACCTCTGCCCGTATTGTCCTCGCCCACTCCTGTTCCGTCGTCACCAGATGTCTTGTTGTGCCCCCACCGTACTTAGAATCTATAGTCTTTATTCTCTTCATCCAGCCTGTCTTGGACCCCTGATATCGGATGTGGTAGTTCATCCCTCTGGCGTAGCTCTCCTGGGGAAGGAACTTTAGTCTGCCCATGTATGCAAGCTTCGACCTGGCCTCTCGTATCTTGTAGGTATACATCCCATTTCCCCGGTTACCACTGTGTTTGCTGCGCAGCTCAGCAGCCATCTCCCCAGTCTGTATTGATGTCGATCCAGATACTTTACCACTGTCTCGCTGTATGTGATCGCGTCGTTCGCGTAAGTCACTGCTTGGACTGCAAGGGATTTCCATAGCAGCCTCCCAACCGAGTGTCTATTGTACGAGTGCCTGGCGAGATGCCACACCACCCCCTTCAGTTTGTTTGACTTTTTAATTACGTTTTTTTCCTGTTTGGTCAGGTAGTCCTTGCTGTGCGTTATTGTTACACCAAGGTAATTGTAGGCTGTTGTTTTCTGTACTGTTTAATTTTGTATAGGCAAAAGCTGGTGTCCAAATTCACGTTGGAGCCCATCCACTGCGTTCTTCCTGCATTAAACTTAAGGTTGTCCCTCGCTGCCACCCCTGTGCAGATGTCAATCATGTGCTGCATATCGGTTGAGGACTCTGCGAGGAGCACCACATCGTTCGCAAAGGCCAGGCATGGGATGCACGTGTATTCTTCCTCTTTGTCCTTGGTCGTAGTGCTCAAGGGCAACCCTGCCCCTTCCTCCTCCAGATGTTTGAGATGTTTGAGAAGGTCGTTTGTGTACACATTAAACAGTGTTGGTGATAGGCGACACCCCTGTCTCAGTCCAAAACTTATTGGTACTGGTTTTGATTTGTAGTTTTCTAATGTGTACCAGGCCTCGCAACCCCTGTACAAGCTCTTCAGGCGTTCGACACTTTCCTTTTCGAGTCCGCTTTTCTCCATCTTATCCCATAATCTTTGGTGTGGTACTGCATCATATGCTTTCTCGAGGTCTAGGAATGCCAGGAACAACTGGGAGTTTTGGATGTTTTTCATTTCTATGGCTTGGGATTAACGTAAATAGGTTATCGCTTGTTCTTCTGTTTTGCCGAAAGCCATTTTGAGCTTCTACGAAAAAGTTGTTTTTATCATACAAGATCTGTAGGGTGTGTATTTTCCGGTTTTAACCGAAAAACACCGATAAACATCCGTCGGTGACAAAAATATAAAATCGGTTAAAACCGAAAAACACCGGTGGTTGGGTATTTTCGCCCTGGTTAAAACCAAAAAAACACCCGTTGTTGCATGTTTCCGACCTAGCAAAACCCTTTCCCCGTAGAGGTTCGTCAAACGTGTTATCTCGTGGATCCTGCATTCTTCCAGTGTTTATACATGCCTTGCACGTGGCGTCAGTCCGCCCTCCTTTCTGGCGGTCAAAAGCGTCTAGTGAACGCATTGGAAGCTAAGCTCTCACATGCCTTTCCCCTATTGTGTCTACCATGGCCCCCTTTCGTGGAAAAGTTAACGCAGTGGAGGGTAGGCTTTCACGTGCCCTTTCCCCATTGTGTCTGGTCAAGTGATGTCGGTGCAAGCCATGTATTCAGAGGCTGCCGTGGTTCCTGGAAGACACTGCCAACGTCCAAGTCGTACAGGAGCGCGCGTTTTCATAATTGCGGGTTCAGAACCGCAAGGAACGTGCTGCCATGACGGATGCAAGCCTCTCGAAGTATGCTTGCATCTACTATAATAACCAAGTGTGAAAATAGATTCTTCCTAGAGAAGAAGTGTATGAAATATGTGAATAAAATTAGAACTCTCTGTCTGTGATCCATCACATTTTTTTCCACTGATAATCACCAATTTTAGCCTAGTCTTGAGACGTCCCACCGAAATACACCGGTGCTTAGAGAATAAATAAACACCGAAAAACATCCGCCGATTTTTCTCACAAATAAACACCGGAAAGTACACACCCTAAAGATCTGTAGCCTGTGGTTTATTATGCTCGCAAATAATTTGCAGACTGCTGATTATTGCGATTGGTCGATAGGCATTGAGGTCTTTTGGGTCTGCTTGTTTCCCTTTATATAGGAGCTTTACTCTTGCCTGTTTCCACACTTACGGTATTTCTGTTGACACCAGGCGTTCATTAAAGCATGTTCTGAGGTTGTTTGCTGCCTCTTTCTTAATTGCCTTCAGGAACTCGTTCGGAATATCATTCATACCGGTTGCCTTCTTGTTTTTCTGTCGTCTTATTTGTTTCTTCATTTCCCCCGTGGTTATGGGATCTAGTATGGAATGCTTCTGTATTTTGCGTTTTCCCAAAGTTTCTTTTTGACTGTATGTCTCTTCCGGGGTTTGCTTCAGTTTTTTGTTGTTGCTGTAAGAAGTACTCAGTCATCCATTCTTCTATTTCACATTTTTCTTTCAGGTCTTTGCCCCCTCTTTGCAGCATACGTGTCTGTTCTTTCTTTTTTTCTGCATGCATTGTAGTAATTTGTCTCCAGAATTTCTCGTTAGATTTTTTCCCGTTTTTCAGTATGTCTTCATCTGTCTTTCTGCAGAACTGTTGAATTTTTGTGGCCACTCTACTTTGTTTCACCTTGTGTTGTACCGCAGGAAAGGCTACAAGCGCGAGCTCCTTGCTCTATGGCACACCTCGGCGGCACAAGCTCTCGTGCACCTAGGGCAGCTGCCAACGCTATGAGCTCGCACTTCTAGCCTTCGCTGCGGTACAACATGAGGTGAAACGGGGTATAGTGCCTTCACTCGAACTTTTTGTTCTTCGAAACATTCCCACAGGTAGTCTTGGGTATAGCCTTTCGTTGTGCCCACCTGTGCTGCCTGTTGATCTCTCGTCTTCCCAATTGCCTCCTTTACCTCCTGTCGAACCAGGGCCTTCGGTTTTATTGTTTCCCTTTTCTGGTTTTTTCCACTTGTTCTTTGGCTGTTTGGGTAATTAGGCTCATTAGTTCTTCATATGTGTTGTCTTTTGTAATTTTTTTCTCCAATTCTGATGCAAATTTTTCTATTTTATCTTCTGCTCCTAGCTTCCAGTGGTTTTCTTGGATGTTTTTTTTTTCTGTCTTTGGTTGTTGGTGTTTAGTTTTAGCAGTATTCTGTTATAATCGCTTGCACAGCTGCTTACCTTGCTCTCGTCTATGTCTATAGCATCTATCTTGATGTTTTCTTTGCCTGCCTCGTCGTTTATGAGGATATAGTCAATTGTTGATTTTTTGGTTGTTGCGGCTCCAGGTTGTTTTTCCCTTGCATTGTGGCTCCAGGTTAACTATAGTTAAAGGGGGGGGGGGGTTCAACAATTTTATGGTTAAAAGAATTTGCATCTCCTCATTTTTACGTTGTTTATCGTGCCCTGGAGGATAGAGAAACCATTTCCGTCCTTCAAAATGTCGCGATTCCGCTGCATAATTGCAAAGCAAAAGCCGAGCTTCTTCCCCCACTTGCAGCCGCAAGTGGCAGCCGGAGGAACTACGGCTAGAAGATTACGTGACTTCGCTCGGCTCTAAGCTGCAGCCTAACGCCCGCTAATGTCAGCAGAGAGAGGGAGAGGAAGTGTCCTCCGAGACAGCACACGGGAACCCACACGGCACTCCGAAGGACGTCACTAGGTGACGTCCTTCGGAGTGCCGTGTGGTGACACATGAGTGAAACATCACTCATGTGTCACCCAGCTATTCGAGTTCATTACTGACCTTCATGTCAACACTCATGACAATCACCAGACCGATATCATATTCATCGACTTTGCCAAAGCTTTTGATACTGTCCCACATAGTCGCCTCCTCCTAAAGCTATCACGACTCCGCATCGAACCATGCATTCATAACTGGATCGCTTCCTTCCTTTCTAATAGAACTCAGTCCGTAAAAATAAACGCTTCTCTTTCTTATCAATGTTCAGTATCGTCTGGTGTACCGCAGGAGAGCGTTCTTGGGCCTCTTTTGTTTTTAATATATGTAAATGACCTTCCTTCATTAACGTCCACCATTAGGCTTTTCGCTGATGATTGTGTCATATACAGAAAGATAGCCGATACATCCGATCATTTAATATTGCAAAATGACCTTGACAGGATCGGAACTTGGTGCACCGACTGGCTCATGAATATTAATGTTTCAAAAAGTAAACACATGAACATTTCCACATCGCCAAGTAGATCGTCTACCCAGTATTTCCTTCAAGGACGCAACATTGACAGGGTGTCCGTTTACAAGTACCTTGGTGTCCACTTTTCAGAAACGTTAAACTGGTCTTATCAGGTAGATTGCATAGTAGCAAGTGCTCATAAAACCCTCGGCTTCTTGAAAAGAAATATATCTCTCGCACCTCCGTCCACTAAATTGCTTGCCTACAATTCGCTGATACTTCCAAAACTAGAATACGCTAGCGCCGTCTGGAGTCCTCATCAGGCATACCTTGTTGATAGACTGGAGTCCGTCCATAATAAGACAGCCCGATTTATTACCTCTGACTACTCATCATTTACTAGCGTCACGTCACTAAAAAACAACCTTGGTCTACATTCTCTTGAGAAACGTCGACGGCTGTCACGACTATGTCTTTTTCATACTATTTTCAATAGCGCATCAACTTTTAGGCAAACCTACTACAAACCGCTTTCCTATATATCACCCAGAACGGATCACCAACTCAAGATTCAGCCGCCCAAATCACGCACACTATTATTTTCCTCATCGCCTGTTGTCATGTGCATTAGAGATTGGAATGATATGCCATACGAAGTTGTATCGGAGACTAACCTAGCAGCATATAAATTAAAATGTGAACAGTACTTTGGAATGAGCAGTTAGTAAGCGGTCTCTACCTTGATACTTGTTTGCCTTGCACGCTGTTGTATATTTTTGCATTTTCATCTTGATCTTTTTTTGCGTTAAGTTTTGTTTACACTCATTCAATTATGTCGCGATATATGAAATTGCAATGTTATATCATGTATGTGTTTTTTTTCCTGCTTTTTGTCTGCACGCTTTCCCCAGTGCATTTTTGTGCGTGTTATTTCAAGATGTAAATAGTATATATGTGAAAACACTGTTTTGAAGTTCTAATTGTATTTTATGAATTTCCCCCCTCATGTAATGCGCTCGCAAGTCAAGTGCCTTTGAGGTAATAAAATGAAATGAAATGAAACTAGGAGGGGGACCAGGTGTGACCCTGAAGACTGGGAGTGAGTTAAGGGGTGCCCAAAATGCCAATATTTATCTTTTTTTTATGCAACAACTAGGACACGCAGGAGAAATCGGTTTTCTGTTTGTTACTTCAGAAGTGTCAGAGGGCAACTTCCACAAATTTTTGACCGAAGTCCGGAAATCGTTGCACTGTGTTTTTTACTAGTTTCCTGAGTTCTGCTGCTTTGCTTTCCCTACCATCCAGTTCTAATATGTGGCAGTTAGTCACCCACAATCATTATCGGTTCATTTTGGAAGGTTGAGCCAATGTCTTTTGAGATGCAGTCGTAAATTGATTTGTTCCATGCCGGATCTTCATGTGCCGTTGCCGAGTAGGTTGTGCAGATGGCGCCACTTGCCCTCGAGGCTTCCAGCGCTCCCTCAATGGTCTAACCCGAGCGACTGGCAGCAAAGTTACAGTACCTGACAAAAGTATTGTATCCTTGTCCCCAACTTTGTCGGTTCTTTATAGAAGGAAATAAAACTAATTGAAGAACCTAAAATTGTAGTCACATGAATTTTTTTTTTCTGTGAAAAGGCATTTTGATAAATACCGAAGCAGACATTATCTGCTTCTGTCCTCGCGAACGCCAACTGTCGTTTACATGCACTTGCATTAATTGTTTATGTTCAGTTTTATTTTATTACCAACTAGCGTTCCTTAGGCCGCAGTTAACGCGTGAGCAACATAGTCTCGGCCCGTTTGCTTGAAGCGCTAACAGCTGCTAAAGTTAGCCGCAGTACCTAGGAGGGGGATTATTATATCACGTGACTGGCTCGGTAAAGATGCGGGGAAACGTGGCGGTGCCCCAGTGAGTGAGTGCCGCTCGCTTTGGAACTAATATGTCGTTGTAGCTGTAATATCGGGCGCGTTAGTCAGCAACGAATCGTGCAGGAGGCTTTCGCTTTGCCTTACCTCACTTCAGTCGCAAAGCATGAGCAATGACCTTGCCGCACCTTTTTTATAGTCTTTTGATTCTGGCCATTACTAAGCCTAAATGAACGCGATAATTGTCGGCATGGCAACGTCTTTGGAAAGCGGATTGCCTTGACTCAATTGGCCGGGTATTGATAGCACACAAAAGCTGACAGCGTCCCATTAGACCTTTTTTTTAAACTACCCAAGCATCGAGAACAACGCTGGAAGTGTAATTCTACGGTCTGCGCGCGCTGGCCTTTCTCTTACAAAGGTTCAAAGTAAATAATCATAATAAAGCTTTGACGAACGTGTGTGCGAGGCAAAATTTGTTTTGGACTTTTTGATTTAGAACAATTACTACTGCAGACGCTAGCACGTGCAATGCCTGTAACTACACTCGGTGCTTGGGAAATTTAGAAAAAGGTCTATTGGGACGCTGTACAAGCTTGCACAACGTCTTTGCGGAGAAAGCCACTGAGCTGCTTCGCCTAACTGCACCTAGCCGCCTAACTGCACAAACAATTTTGATCTTAGCGTCCCTCAAGCAGGGTAAGCAAATGGGAAAATTAAAAGTGTCCTAATGTCACTCTTCTTTTTTATTTTGCCTGGAGTACATGTGACCGAATAACAAAAAATACACCCGTTATGTGGCATACTTACCTTTGGTAATGGAGCATTTCGCATCATTGGTGATTTCCTTCTCTTGCAATTAGAATGTGCAAACACTGTTGGAATGGCAGTCTGTTTCAGCTTCTTCCAACCATCTGCGCAATTTTGCTCAAACTGGGATCCTTCAAATTGCCTAGAAAAATATGATAAATTTTACTTAACAATGCCCTATAATTAACATTTGCATGCTTAGTTGCATCATGTACATTAAATCCAGGACAACTTATAACTTTCAATTTACTTAGCAGTCACTGGTTCAAACAGAGCTTCATAACCAGGGCCCCTTAGAAGTTGCAGATAGTGAACATGAGAAATGCGCATAATTAAAATTAACTTTGCCGTTTTGTTTTGTTTCATTTAAATTCCATGTGCTCGTATATCTTTATGCAACAAACAAGGATTGTAGCTTTAGTGATCGCACATGCTTATCTTGATTGCAACGAACTATAATTATGTCTCACTTTCTTGAGTTGAGCCAAAGTTTGAACTGCATATATGACCAGATCAATGCTATTTACAGTAATTTATAAATCCATACCATCCGTGATTGTAGCTGTAGATGCGATCACGCAAGGCACGGGTGATCATTTCCATAGTGGAAAGTTTTTGGAATAAATGAAAAGATTCTTACCTCACAAAGTCGGGAACCAGCCGTTGGCGTCCACGTGTCGCGCTTTATTTTTATTGGCCAGAGTTTCCCTCATTTTTTTTTTCGGAATAATAAACAACCGAAAGCCATCATGGCTGCTGTTAGAGCACCCGACGGCGCAGCAACAAATCATTTTCGTCTTTGAAAATAAAAGCTCAGAAAATCAAGGAGCCGGTAAACCTCCAGGGTAGCCTATGCACATGTACGCGGAATAGGAACAAAAATGGTGGTCGGGAGCGTGTCGATTGCAGCGGGTTCGTCGTTGCCACGCGGTTGCTAGGGCCAATGTCAATGCCGGTGGGAGGAGTCAAGGGTCCGCCTGGGTTCACCGAGGACAATGGATGGCCAAACTCTCCCCTATCTATGGCTCTGATCCTTGCGCGGATGGAGGCACCATCTGTGAGATGCTGTCACAAACAGCGGCATTCTGTCTGCTGCTTCTCAGGGACGGCGTCCTCTCATAGTCAAAAACAGTTTTCCACTTCTAACTTTTTATTCCGGTAATGATATGCATTAAAACTTAAGCATCTCGCTTGAACGGCTGCGGCTATGTTCCAACAAAGTTTGAGCTTTCTCCAAAGTCTAGTTTATTTTTGCGGTGCGAAAACCAGGGTTCGATTTTTTCAGGGACATTCTGTACAATAAGCTATTGCACCCTCCTCCTTTTTAAAAGTTCTAGTTGTTAGGGTTTTTTTACTTACTATAAGGTGTGTCTCTCTTCATGATATAAACCACAGTGAAGTCTGAATTCTTGTGCTAGGTGCCACCCTGACCAGGCTGAAGCTGACATGATTAGCAAGCATCGTAACGTGAGTTGAATGAAATGACAGCATAAATTGACTACTGTGTGGATGTTCGTGCTTCATGGCAGTCATGCAATAACAGTTGCCTTGACGTCACTTGTGTTGATGGAAGGTTGCCCTATTATGTCAGCAAGAACTATTATTTGTTTTGATTAATTTAGGGAGCTTGTGGGCCATTACATGGAGTAACTTTGTACAGCATCCTTGTCTAAGGGCTATACCATATTTGCTGTTGTGCTTCCTGTTGGAGGATAATGCCTTATTTGCATTGCATTCCAAACCTCACTTTTTAATTACTTCAATAATACCTAGTAGCTGGCATTTATGTCAGCTTCTGCCACATCAACCCATGACCTTTGATTGTGTGCCAAACACACCACTAAATAGAAATGGCTTCATTATTACATTTTGTTCCTCCATTGCATAGGATATGGGAATCCCAGCAATTACATTCCCCAATGGTATTTTGTAATATTCACAATTTCAAATTATGTTAACAATTTCATAAACCTCCAAGTCACTCATTGACTGATAAATTATTTAAATAAATGTCAACTGTTAATCGGTTGCAAGTTTCTAATTAATGCACAGTCCCACCCTGCATTACTGTTTGTGTATAATATCAGGAAATGTTGATTAAACATACAGGTTATTTAATAACAACTTTTTATGTCTGACCCATTATATTCATTGTTTTCTAGATAAGTTTGAAGTTATATAAGAGAGTGCTCATCTTAAAATTAAGCCATACCACTGGATGTACAGTCGGGAGCAAAAGTTTGCGGGGCACGGGAGCGCGTGCCGAAATGCATCGCCGCGCCGTGCAACGGCGCGCCACCGTATCAAAAAGCCGCGCTTTGCGCATGCGCGCCCTTCGTGCTGGCAGTCATGTCTCTTTCGCTCGTTTCTGTCAGACTCACTCCTGATAACCGGAATCGGCGCCAGCGGCGCGAGTTACCGTTTCGCTGGCTGTCATGCCCCGAGTCCTCTTCAGCTGCCTCAGCAGGCGCTCTGGGTGACAAGGCGCCTGGCTACCCTCCCCCCACCCCCCGCTACACACACACACACACACACACTAGCTCCGTGACAAAGCGCGGTGACTGAGACAGCTGAAGCAGACGCGCAGGAGACAGCCAGCGAAGCGATAACTCACGCCTATCAGGAGCGCGTCAAAAAGAAACGAGCGAAAGAGACATGATTGCGAGCGCGAAAGGCGCGCATGTGCAAACTGTCTCTCCTTAATGCGGCGGCGCGCCGTCGGACGGCGCAGCGATGCACTTCGGCACGCGCTCCGGTGCCCCGCAAACTTTTGCTCCTGACTGTACACTAGTGTGTGACCGATACATATGTTCCCAGCGAAATGAAAGAAGGCATTTAAGAAGGGCAAACCACTTGCTTTGCTGTTTGTCTTGTCTTCTTCTAAGTGCATGGGTGTTTACGTCTAGAAGTGTTAAAGTGAAATTTGCTGCTGCAGGACTAGTTTTCCTGACTCAGCTGGTTTGTCTGGCAGCTTGCAACCTATGGGAACCTGAGGAACTGCATCACAAGAGTGAAAGGGACGCCCACCCAGCACTTCTTCGAGGGTGGTGCCTTGAAGGGAGAACTGCGCCTAAAGCGAATGCCATGGCAGGTGGGTCATTACAGTGAACCCCTAGCACAAATAATCCCAAACAAAAAATTATTAACAAATGGGTTAGAAACAAAGAATGGAAATATGGAAAAAGAGGTGGAGGTGAACACACCGTAGCACTGTGTTTTATGCGTCTGTTCTCTTCTGTCCTTTGCACCGTTTTTTGTTTTTGTCTTAAATGATGGTTTATCATTTAGTCAGTATCAGCACTAGTGAAAAAAAGTATGCTCTCAATCATTCCTATGAATTAACTGTGTGCTTGCAATTTAATCACAAACATTGTTTATGCTTGTGTCTAGAAATGTAACTCGTACAGTAATCTATTAAAGGGACATTGATAGGGTGTTTATGCTTGTCGAGGTTTTTGTTTGAACATGACCTACGATATTCCAACTACCCAGAACATTACTTGCGGATCCAAATTTGTTTGTTTCTGCTCAAAAAAAGCCATTCTTGAATTGGTTGCTTGCTATCGCATTCACTCTCTTTTTCATGGTTATCTGGGGTTTAAACTGTATGTACCAAATATATTCAAAGTTTTCCGTCATCTAAGGCAGACACGCAACATTAAAAAAAAAAAAAGAATATGAACCCCATTTTTGTGGTCTCCAAAAGCCAGCAAAAATGCTGATTGAAAAAAAAAATCCTGCACAGATCACAGGAAGTCTTTATACATATCATATTCAATACAGCGACGTACTGCGGGCTGGACGTTACGATGGTGACGCATGATGCACCAACGTTGCGACGGATGAGGGGGCTTTACTTCGGAACGGTCATTTGTGATACCAGCCAATTGATATTCAAGCGCAGACATCGAGCGTTTGTCGTGCGAAATAATCGCACGACAAACGGTGCACGCAAATTCGTCGTCGTCGTCTTTTCGGTTTCGAACTGCAGATTGTTTTTGGCTTTATTAAATATATATGTGACTGTGTAGTAAAATATTTCCTGACTAGTCTCTTGACACAAATTAAATCGCCTGGCAAAAAAATGAAAAAATATGCACATTTTTAGGGCGTGTTAGTGTCTCTTTAAAGAACAAAACCGAGGTGCAAGCTGGCACAGGTTAAACAAGGTGATTTACCCAATACAGTAGTAGGGATTCATGAAGGATGATGCAAACACTGAAGTCTAAAACAATGGGCTAAAAATAAATAGGCAACCCTGAAGAGGGAGACACAAAGGCACGTTTTAAAAATAATATTTTCCTGCTTACAACCACTCTATAAAGGGAATTCGTTCCCGGATATTGCAGCCTTCTACTGTACGCAACCCCGAAGGTCCCCAAGACAACAAACGAAACGAAGCAACCTACGAACCTCTGAGTAAATGTGGTTGAAAGAAGAATAGCTTGAGTTTTTAACCTAGGAAGTACAAAAACATCATACACAAGGTCAAGTTTCCAAAAACGGGTGGACATCGAACTTGTTTCTAATGAAAAAATACAGGCAAAAAGCAGTGGCATAGCCAAGAATTTTTTTTTTCTTTTTTTTGGGGGGGGGGGTGGCTGGGATGTCCATTACTTGGGGTTCGGAGAGGGGTAAGGGGTCAAAATGCTTGTGTATAATATTATAGGGTCGGCTGGATTTCGTGGTGGGGCTGAAGCCCCATAAGCACCCCTCCCCCTCCCTGGCTACGTCCCTGTACGCCTGTTCCACTCAGAGTCGAAACACAGAAAGGGCTTAGTCAATGCATTTCTATGCTTTATCATTATTATTGATTCTTGCTGTATATGCTTGTAGTCATTCCCTTCGGTCAAAACTATTTCAGCAGGATCCATTAAGGGCGCACGATTATTACGTTTAATCAAGTGGGTTTTTTTTGTTGCTTTTCTTGCAGAATTTTGTTGCAAAGATTGCATGAAAACAGGGATCTGTATTTGGAACTGTTAAAACATTTGAGGGAATAATTGTGACCCTTTATGGATCTGTTCTGGAAAAGTTTTGACCCAAGAGAATGTCCACAAATTTATACTGAAAGAATCAGTAACAAAATTGAAGCTTGTAACTGTGGCGAATAAGTCGTCCCTATGTTTTGACTGTGAATGGAAGAACTTTTTTAGCCTATATCTTTTTCCCTAGAACCAGGTTTGATGTCCCTCTCTTTTAGGAAGTTAATGCTGTGTATGGTGCTTTTCTATTCTATAAGCTCGAGGGTATTCACTGTTTCTTTGATCACATTTACACAGAGGTTAGTAGGTTGCTTCTTTGTATCTCTGTCCTTAAGTATGTTGGGGGTCGTGCTGAGTCCTGGACAGTGCAAGCTGAAATGTTAGTGCAATGACCGAAATCCACTGCTTGCTGGGCTTCTACAAGAGATGCTGAAGTAGCAATAAGAGGCGGTTGAGGACAAGAGTGCATGGCCACTGCTATGCGACTCTGCCTGTTTCTCATTGTTTAGGAGCACCTCGATTTGAGTCATCTTTATGTTTTGCTATCGCCTAGCCGCGCTTGTTGGCGCCTCAATTATGTGGGCCGGTGGCCTTTGTCCCAGCCAAATAACTTTGTCCTATGACTCAGCAGGCAAACATAATGGTGACTATAAACAATCCCAGAAGCAGCACATCTGCAGCAAGGTGTGCGGTTCTCAACCATGATCAGGCCGAGTCAGGCATCATGCCACTGCAATCTCTTCTGAACGTTATCTTTTTATTGCTGGTTGAAGTTTTCTTGTTAAGGCAGTGCCACTGTTGTCAGTCGTCGCTTGGTCATTTCAGCTTCTAGCAACAATGACTGGACTGTAGGGCTGAGCATTGATTATAAATTTAAACCTCATTATAATTGCCATCCTTTAACCGATTAATAATAGATTAATCATTCTCATTCCTTTCCATGCATACTCAAAATTATATATATTTTTGTTTGTTTTTGCTGAATGTTTGATAAACAGTATACAAAATTGATTATGAATCAACTTCAATACATAGTTGACAACAGTTTGAGGACACACTCGCAGATTATTACTTGAGTTGCATGAGGCAAAGAGGTTTGTTGATATTCATCGGCAAGAGCGGCTTCCTTCGATTGTTCTCGCTGCTCTAAACAGACACTCAATATATGTTAAAGTGGCCAGAGCACATGTAACCCTCTGCACCTTGTCTGGAGTTACAAATCTTGCCCTTACAGTTTATTTTAGATTAAAATTTCACCTAAACTTTGCCCTTCATATACATGTACTCGGCCATTTCTCTATGGTAAAAGCATTTAATTTTGATTTTCTTTTGGTTCATCAAAGTTTTATTGGTTGACCGGATAAACAGAATAATCCAGATTAAAGCAATATTTGATTAATCGGTCGGTTATTCTATCCATTGCCCAGCCGTACTCTTCAATAGAAGGCACTGAGGTCCAGCAAAATATTTTTCTTTGGGAGATGGTTGTAAGTGGAAGTGTACCCATGGAAAGGGTTTCTTAAAGTCTCCCTCTATATGTTCTGTTGTGTGCCGCTTAATTCAGAACATTTCTCGCCATTTAAATTTAGCTGAGTCCCAGTCTTCGGCACATTCATCATAAGAAATTTCTTTTACAGTGAAACTTCAAGGCAATGTCAAAATTATTGCAAGTTGAAGCAAACCAAAATCACAGAATGAAGTGATGGTTTCCTCTTTTGTTTAGAGAGAACTAATGTTTATCAATATTTTGTTTGAAGGTGCTTTTATGACAAAAGGTGTCGCCAACCTCTGCTCAAGACCAATGTGGCTTGCGGCTTTAAAACCCATCACATTCAAGTGTTATTTAAATTTTTATCTTCATCATCATCATTTTTTTGAGCCACAACTTTATTTAGAGCACCAGTTTTACTAAGAAACTTCCATTGCCAGAGACTCATGCTCTTATTAATTGTGCAATGACAGTGCAGCCACCAACTGTCATTTCTAGTGAAATAGCGGTCTCTGGTGTAACAAATCTAACAATGAACAGTGTGGAATAATGAAAAACAGTCCACTGCTGTTTTTCCAAGGTCCAGTGACTTGATCCTGCAGGCATTTATGGTTTTCCAATGCAGTGTAAATGTGATCAAACCAAAACAGAAGATAGAGATGTGCTGCGTTAATGGTCCCTAGACCTTCCCAGTGGTGATGCTCCTCCTCACCTTTTCCTAGGCAACGAGCGAGAGGACTCTTCACTAACGTAATCCATCTTGGGCTTCTGGTATAACAAAGGCCACTGGGAGGGGCTCGAGGGCAGTCTGCCTCGAGGGGAAGTTGACTTCTTGATTGCTGCTACTTGGGGACTCCAAGATAGATGGACGAGGCTTTTCAGCATACCTAGGCTATCCTGGAGGTTGGGGTGGGACGTTTGCGAGTTGTGTTACTTTCCTACATGGCGACAGCCGCCTCCTGTGCATAAGTGAACTGGTGCTCATCTTTTGTGTAAGGTTGCTATTCATGTCACTGAAGGAAGCTTTACACTTCTGGTGTGGCATGTCATTTATTCGGCAGCTAGAAAAGCTGTTGCTTGAAGTCAATGTTCAGGTTCTTGGTTTTTTGGAGGACCGGAAATATTTTCTAATACACTTGACTCTCAGTAACTCAAACTCCTGGAAGCCACAGACTTTAATTTGAAATATGAGAAGTTTGAATTATTGGAAATTTATGGAAAAGTGATATGAGGCAAAGTATGAAATCGCTATTCGCGTCTCCAGCTCGACGCTCGCCCTCCCGCGGCGGAAACGGGAAGCGCTCTAGTGAGGGTCCCCGATTCTCCTGCTCAGCGGGCAGGGCGGAACTGCTCGCGATCATGGCTCGCGAAATGTCGTTTCCGAATGCAAACAACACTCTTCACTGTCCCAACGTAGTGCACCAGCCGGTATCGGATTGTACCTCACTGGAGAGTTTTAGTATTGCGGATAGAATGCGCATAGAAGCACACGCCAAAGGTGTGCATTTGGGATAGAGTTGCATGCCCCACGTTGTGCGTGCGCCTCATCGCCATGCGCCATCCAAGAGCG